CCCGGACCTCTTCTGAAGGCTGGGGGGGGGACAAGGGCTTTTCTTCCCACCCCCAGCATTTTAAAAAACCCTGGGACAGCGGAGGACTTCTCCGCTGTCCGGGCGATCTTAAAATGCTGGCGGGCGGCATTTTAAAATCGCCCCGGGACAGCGGAGGACTTCTCCGCTGTCCGGGGCGATTTAAAAGCCCCTGGGAAGGCAGGCAGGGGGGACAAAGACTTACGCCCCCCGCCCGCCTTCAGAAGGTGTTCCCGCCCCCCCCCCCCCCGCTTCGGAGCAGCGTTCCGAAGCGGGGTGGCTGGGGCAGGTGTTCCCGCCCCCCGCCCGGCTTCGCAGCAGCGCTACGAAGCCCGGCGGCTGGGGCAGGTGTTCCCGCCCCCCCCACCCCGCTTCGGAGCAGCGTTCCGAAGCGGGGTGGCTGGGGCAGGTGTTCCCGCCCCCCGCCCGGCTTCGCAGCAGCGCTACGAAGCCCGGCGGCTGGGGCAGGTGTTCCCGCCCCCCCCACCCCGCTTCGGAGCAGCGTTCCGAAGCGGGGTGGCTGGGGCAGGTGTTCCCGCCCCCCGCCTGGCTTCGCAGCAGCGCTACGAAGCCCGGCGGCTGGGGCAGGTGTTCCCGCCCCCCACCCCGCTTCGGAGCAGCGTTCCGAAGCGGGGTGGCTGGGGCAGGTGTTCCCGCCCCCCGCCCGGCTTCGCAGCAGCGCTACGAAGCCCGGCGGCTGGGGCAGGTGTTCCCGCGCCCCCCCCCGCTTCGGAGCAGCGTTCCGAAGCGGGGTGGCTGGGGCAGGTGTTCCCGCCCCCCGCCCGGCTTCGCAGCAGCGCTACGAAGCCCGGCGGCTGGGGCAGGTGTTCCCGCCCCCCCACCCCGCTTCGGAGCAGCGTTCCGAAGCGGGGTGGCTGGGGCAGGTGTTCCCGCCCCCGCCCGGCTTCGCAGCAGCGCTACGAAGCCCGGCGGCTGGGGCAGGTGTTCCCGCCCCCCCACCCCGCTTCGGAGCAGCGTTCCGAAGCGGGGTGGCTGGGGCAGGTGTTCCCGCCCCCCGCCCGGCTTCGCAGCAGCGCTACGAAGCCTGGCGGCTGGGGCAGGTGTTCCCGCCCCCCCACCCCGCTTCGGAGCAGCGTTCCGAAGTGGGGTGGCTGGGGCAGGTGTTCCCGCCCCCCGCCCGGCTTCGCAGCAGCGCTACGAAGCCCGGCGGCTGGGGCAGGTGTTCCCGCCCCCCCACGCACTTCGGAGCACCGGGAGAAGCGATCTCCCCGCCGCCCCTTGCTTCAAAAGAGAAGACCCGCTGTCCCCGGGGCAAGCTTCGTTTTGCGAAGCAAGCCCATAGGGAAATTCGTCTTGCGAGGCAACTCGAAAACGAAAAAACCTTTCGTTTTGCGAGTTTTTCGTCTCGCGAGGCGTTCGTCTTGCGGGGTACCACTGTATGTCACTGTGACTTAATACACAACAATTGCCTTTTTAAGAAAGTGGGATTTCGGAATCTCTGGTTTTAAATGTTGCTTTACATGATTATTTGTATTTCCCACCCTAGCATTTTTAATGATGATGTAACAGAAGCTGTGGGACACGGGTGGCGCTGTGGGTTAAACCACAGAGCCTAGGACTTGCCGATCAGAAGGTCGGCGGTTCGAATCCCCGCGACGGAGTGAGCTCCCATTGCTCGGTCCCTGCTCCTGCCAACCTAGCAGTTCGAAAGCACGTCAAAGTGCAAGTAGATGAGTAGGTACCTCTTTGGCAGGAAGGTAAACAGCGTTTCTGTGCGCTGCTCTGGTTTGCCAGAAGCGGCTTAGTCATGGTGGCCACACGACCAGGAAGCTGTACACCAGCTCCCTCAGCCAGTAAAGCGAGATGAGCGCCGCAACCCCAGAGTCGGCCATGACTGGACCTAATGGTCAGGCATCCCTTTACCTTTACCTTAACAGAAGCTGCATGTGGAAGATTCCAGACAGATAAAATAGAGCACGTAGTTAAACTGCGGAACTCCCTGCCACAGTGATGGCCACCAGCCTAGATGGCTTTAAAAGAGGATGAGACATTCATGGAGGAAGAGAGGGCTATCGATGGCTACCAGCCAGGATGGATGTCCTCTGGCTTCCACAGTCAGACACAGCAACGCATCTGAATAGCAGTTGCTAGAAACCCCAGTGCTCAAATCCTGCTGGCCAGGTTCCCATTGGGGCATCTGGTTGGCCACTGTGAGAACAGGATTCTGGAATCGATGGGCCAAATCTGTTTTTATGTTCTCCTTTCGCTCCTTTTCCAAACACATTTAGGAACAGGATAATAATAATAATAATAATAATAATAATAATAATAATAATAATATATTATTTATACCCTGCCCATCTGGCTGGGCTTCCCCAGCCACTCTAGGGAGCTTCCAACACAATATTAAAATACACTAATGCATCAAACATTAAAAGCTTCCCTGAACAGGGCTGCCTTCAGATGTCTTCTAAAAGTCTGGTAGTTGTTTATTTCTTTGACATCCACAGGGCGGGTGCCACTACCGAGAAGGCCCTCTGCCTGGTTCCCTGTAACATGGCTTCTTGCAGCGAGGGAACTGCCAGAAGGCCCTCAGCGCTGGACCTCAGTGTCCGGGTAGAACGATGGGGGTGGAGACGCTCCTTCAGGTATACTGGGCCTTTGAGGCCGTTTAGGGCTTTCAAGGTCAGCACCAACACTTTGATTTGTGCACGCAAATGTATGGGATGGGAGTGCGTGGCCTTGGGACCGGGCTCATCGGCCACAGACCACGAGCCTCTGAGCATCACCGCCATCGAGACGGCTCACTTTGAAAATAACCATTGCAAGGATCGCTGTCTCTCCCTTTGTCTGCCCAGTCCATAATTTCTTGCTGCTACCGACGTCTTGCAGGCTGGGTGGAGAGCAGCAACGGGCTCAGGGCTCCGGGCTCCGAGCCCAGGCCCTGATCCTTCACACAAACGCCCTTGTGGCATTTACCGTGCTCCGCTGTGCAATGAGCGGAGCGACTGGTGGCTGCAGCACAGCTTGTCTCCCTGCGCTGGGTCTGCCTTCTCCGCCACGCTCAGAGAAAGCGTCTTCTGAGGCAGAAAAATGCGCCTTCCGGCTCTCTCGTTCGGTCCACTCAAGGAAGAAATGGGGCAGAAAAGGGTTCCTTTGTGTGTGCGGAGAAGGGAAGCCCGGTGTGTGTGTGTGTGTGTGTGTGTGTGTGTGTGTGATGCAATGTGTCCTTTTGAAACAAAATTTGCTCGCACAGATTCCTCTGGTCTTCACGGGGACGTTGACAACCATTTACGGT